TTTTTTAGTGGCAGCAAACAAAGATGGAGTGCCAGGTGCAAATAAAGAGACTGCAATGCACAATCCAGCATACAATATCAGTGCTGCTTTAACTTATGCCACACAGTTGGTTAATATTATTGCTTATTATGTTAATATAAGGCTACCATATCAACTTGCTTATAGGTATATACCAATTATTTAATTTTTATCTACAATACTTTTACATAAAATATTATAAAATACCATTACTTAGAATTTAATTTTCAAAAATTTTCAGAGAATTTTGTGGAAATGAAATGTCAGATCAAAAATTTGCAAGAAAAGTAGCAAGGCTCAATAGCAATGTATTACATTTATGTTTTACACAAAATACCAACATTGCAGTTTTACATCCAATGCATACTTTACAGAATCTAATGCACTTGCTCAATACTTGTGTATTGAAACAGAATTGGTCCAATGGAAGTTGACCCAAATATTGTAGCACAACTGCACAGTCAATTAGTTCCCGATTTAGAGAATAGTGACGATTCTGCTTCTGACGAAGAGGAAGATACTTTTAATTGGGATTGGGAAGCTGTAAGTTTTGTTTTATTTGTCATAAATAAATATGCCACTTAATAATTGTTAAAATTATATTGTATATAAATATTTAATTTTTGTAGGTACCAAATGTTGCTTGCCCTGAAATGGCAGTTCCAATCCCTGGTGCAATGGTTAGTCAACAATCATCTAGTATGCAAGTAAATCAAAGTGTTGCCGGTGGTTTAGTTACAAGTGCTGCAGCGGGTATAGCCTCAATTTGGCGTGGTTGGACGACAAACAAATAAACTGTTCTATTTAATTACCAAACTTCTTTTTATACAAATCACAACTACGTATGTAGAAACATATGTATGAAAAGACACAAACATTGACAAAGCTTTACAAAATGTGAAACACTGAATTGAGGGTTGGGTGTTTAAAAATATAGTGTACTGTAAATATATATATGAATTTATTTGTTCATATATGATAAGTGAAATAGTTCAATTCCGCGACACAAAATTTTGTAAGATCTGATAATTAGTTTATTTTAAACTATTTATGTAATATATTGATTTGTGCTGTTACTTGTAATATAATTCCAAACACTTTTAGTATGCTCATGGTAGAGGAAAAGGTCGTAATTCTTTGGTACAAATTTTGTAAGTGTACAAGCAGGTGTTTCAACACTCTATACATAACATTTTCAGTAATTGTTTACTCATCAATATAATTCATTAATAAGATATATGTGAGTTTAAAATGACTGCCTTTTTTATGCTCACCATAGTTCGTGTAATTATGTATTTGTTAACATATACATAAAATATTTCCTCGCATTGACAGTGTCATTACTATCATTATATTTTCTATGTACTACTAAGTTATCAGCAGATTTAACATAACATAATATTTTAAGCTTCGTAATATTTCGTTTTTTTATAAAATATACAATCAGACAAATCAAGTAACAAATTTGTTACCTAAAACTACTTAATGTATTTTACAAGCGGTGTAATGTTTCTGCTAGGAAACGATATCTTAAAAATGTTATTATTCTTATGTAGATATGATTGTATGTACCACGTTTCATACATATTTTCGATTTTATATCACAAAAATATGACCTGTTAAACACTTCATACCTGACAATATATAACACGAACGTAAGGAAGGTTGTATTGGATTAATTTTTGATTATATTAAATTAAAATTAAGGATAACATATACGACATCAAAATGAATTTTGTATCTGAAGTGTTGTTAAAGCTATATTATGTAGATTCAGTAAGAGATAAAAAATAACATATACGTTATTATTACTAAAGCACGAATTCATTAACGTAACGTAGTTGCACCATTAAAATTATTCTTAAAATACATATAATTCTTGTAGTAATTTACAATTTTCTAATTGAATATTTCGTTTAGCGAAGTTCCAATAATTTAAAATATTTCATATATTTATTATGCATAGGAATGAAGTGTTCTTTATTTTACCATTTACATGTTTTTCTCGTAATATATATTTGCGCGTTTAACATACGTATGTTAACGTTCGATTTTACGTAATTACATAGAAAAAAAAATAAATACTGTAATTTGTTAATAAGTAAATATAATATCAATTTATTAACAATTATAATAATACAATTCCTTTGTGTAGTAGTATTCTTTTTTACGTACGAAACGTTGCTAAAAGATCAAATCAAGTTGTCTTATAATTGTTAAGTCTAGAATATAATGAAATGTAAAAGTATGTATTATGCGAATAAGTAGGATTATGTACAGTTATATTTCATTACGTCATTTTACACGTGTCCGGTTTTTCGAAAACTAGGGTTTTATAAATTATACGGGCAAAATTATTTTATGGAAAAATAATTGAATTATAATACACGATGTTAAATATAAATTGAAATTTATATGCAAAGCAGCACAAATTTGTAAATGTTATTTGATAAGTATATATAATATTGCAAAAATTTGATAGCACATTACAGATAATGAACTAAAAAAATGCAAATTTAGGTCTTAATAAAATATTCTTTAAATTAAGTTTATGAAAGAATATACAAAATATTTTTAATTAGCATAATAGGTAATGTAAATATAAATTAATAGTACACAATTTATATGTTATATAAAATAACTATGTTTTATCTAAACAACGTTTCATTATGATATCACAAATAAATTAGAATTTGTTTTTTATCAATTTCTTTGTACTTTATAATTTAATACCAGATAACTCCGAATTTAAAGAGGGTTCAATTATATATTCTGCAATTTAATATAATAAAACTAATTGGTATATACTGCACTTTTATCATTCTCCTAATGTCTGTAATGATTCATAAATAATTTTGTTAATTATGTTGGGATTAAATTAAATAACAGCATTGCAATAAAATATAGTTGATAAATATTTATTGAGTAGAAGGATAATAATATACAACATTAACTATACGTCCACAGTAAAAACCTATAGTATATTGCTATAGAGAACTTGATCAGATTTTTTATCTTTACTTAAAAATAAAATGCTTTGTACAATAAATTTTGTAATTGAATTCAATATTACAATGCAATACAACTCCCAAAATTGTTTAACCAGAAATGAAATATGCCTGTAACATCATTCGATTACCATTCCACAGTCTCTCTTCATGTAGCACTCCTCTGTAGTTCTTGTTGCTTGGTATCTCACTTTCATGACTTTTGGATTCGCCAGTTTATTGTATACCACATGTATCAAATTGTATACATATTGTGTACACTAACTGGCTTGAGAATTCTGTAAGCATATCATCATATAGTATTTTAATTTTTATGTACATATGTTTTCATATATAAAGCTTACAATAAAATACTTATTATTAACAAAGAAACAATACTTTTCCTAATATTCCTCTATAAAGATACAATATCATTTGTTTTACATTAATAATATAATTTTAACATTAAGATAGTGAATAACTACTGATGACATCAATTAAAAATATAAAATGCGTTACATACTTACACTAGTGACATTAAATATAAATAAAGATGGTTATCTTGAAGTATTAAAAAGTATGACATAAATATTGAAGTAAAGCATGTTATACAACATTTTATCGTTTCAATGTTAGTTATAGTTTCGAATGACTAAAATTATTTTAAGATGTAGCTATGAAAAATATTTTTGTTTTCTTTTTAATAAATTACAAATTTATGTCTGAAATATTACAAGTTTATATTTATTTTACAATGTTAATCATTCAAATGATGTTAAAATTGTTCACTCAAAGTTTTATTTAAGCTTGTGAAAATATTACATATTAATCATGGTAATACATAAATTTATAAAAATGATAATAGATAAAAAATATCTTCAAAATATTTAAAAAACTTAAA